TTTTCGATTTTAAATTTTCAACTTAAAAATGCTATAACTTTTTGAAAAATGTATATATCAGCACAAATTTTTTTTCTAAATACATATATAAATAATAAGTACATCTTTTATTTGACATACTTTTTATTAAAATTGGACAATTTCCCCATATATAGGGGGCGTTCAAAACTTGAAATATTGTATAAAAAATAGAACTTTTTCAACTTAACTTTTAAAAGTGTTCTGGAAATATTGCGTCCTTTAAACATATATAAAATTAAAGCTTATTTTTTGTACTATAAAATAAAAAAAAAAAATTTGTCCCAACGACCTATCTACTATGTGCAAATTGCTGTCAAAATTAAAAAATAAATGTAATGTTTACAATAAAAATCACCTTCTATAAGGATGTTTTTTGTACTTAAAACTGCCATAACTTCTTCAAATATTAACAAATCAAAATATTATTTTTTATACTGAAACCTTAGGTAATTTACTTTCATTTGATATCATTTTTTTAAATATCTCACACTTATTCTTCTCACAGGGAAGGATTTAAAATTGCAACTTTTTTACAAAAACTAACTATTTCAACTTAATTTTTGAAAATGTTCCGGAAATACTGCGTCCTTTAAACATATATCAAATTAAAGCTTATTTTATGTACTACAAAATGAAAAAAAAAAATTTGTCCCGACACTTTTTCTTCTACATTTAAACGGCTGCCGTAGTTAAAAAAACACTATTTTTTGTGAAATTTTCGATTTTCGATTTTAAATTTTCAACTTAAAAATGCTATAACTTTTTGAAAAATGTATATATCAGCACAAATTTTTTTTCTAAATACATATATAAATAATAAGTACATCTTTTATTTGACATACTTTTTATTAAAATTGGACAATTTCCCCATATATAGGGGGCGTTCAAAACTTGAAATATTGTATAAAAAATAGAACTTTTTCAACTTAACTTTTAAAAGTGTTCTGGAAATATTGCGTCCTTTAAACATATATAAAATTAAAGCTTATTTTTTGTACTATAAAATAAAAAAAAAAAATTTGTCCCAACGACCTATCTACTATGTGCAAATTGCTGTCAAAATTAAAAAATAAATGTAATGTTTACAATAAAAATCACCTTCTATAAGGATGTTTTTTGTACTTAAAACTGCCATAACTTCTTCAAATATTAACAAATCAAAATATTATTTTTTATACTGAAACCTTAGGTAATTTACTTTCATTTGATATCATTTTTTTAAATATCTCACACTTATTCTTCTCACAGGGAGGGATTTAAAATTGCAACTTTTTTACAAAAACTAACTATTTCAACTTAATTTTTGAAAATGTTCCGGAAATACTGCGTCCTTTAAACATATCAAATTAAAGCTTATTTTATTTACTATAAAATGAAAAAAAAAAATTGCCCGACGACCTATCTTTTATGCGCAAATGGCTACCGTATTCAAAAATATGCTATTTTTCTATTAAAATTCTAGGTTTTGTATTTTATTTTATTTTAAAATATCTTATTAGGAGAATATATTGACTTTCATGAATATTATATAATTTAATTGACATAGAATAAAGGTCATAAGACATAAGAAATTAAACTTATTAAATTTTTTTTACTTTTTTATTTTCATACTAAATTTAATAATTATAATTAGTATTTATTCATATATTATATTTAAAAATCAAAGAACTACTAATTAGGATATAATCAAAGAAATAAGAGTTGATGTTGCTTTTGGAATAATCCATCAATTTCTCTAAATGAAACACTATCTACAGATTTACATCGAAGCGTTTCTTATGATAGTGATTTTAATCACTGTCAAATATCATCTATACTTGTCCCATCTATGCCTTGTCTACACTGTGTTTTTTAATTTTTAAAATCGAATAATGTAATTATTTAATAATATTAAATATGACATACGAAATAGTAAAATTAAATTTTCGACGTATTTCAAACAATTCTACATTACTTCTTTCACATAAATACTTACTGTATTTATAAAACAATTTATAAAATGGTTTGCATTAAATTACATACATTTTATAATATAATTTTTTAAATTTAGATTGAACAATGATTGATCTGTGGACGCTTTAAAGTGATCTAAAATAATTTTTTTTAATTACAAAATGTCAATTATTCATAAGTTTACACTTACATATAAATGTATATATTAACTTTATTTTAAATATAAATTTTGTAATATTGTTATAAATTGATCTTGTTTAAATAATAATTATAAATAAAAATAACTAATTAAAAAAAAGTTAATATTTAATATTAATGGAAATAATTAATATATTATTTGAATGATCAACTTATAGTACTAATAAGTAGACTATAATTATAGTACTAATAAGTAGTAATGAATCACGTTTTATGTTAGACTAATTACTAGAAAACAAATTTTTAAAAATAATGAAAAAATTTGATTCAATCACCGAAAAAAAGTTTGTATTAAAGGAGCTAATTAAACTAAGAACAGTATGTATTATAATAATTTCGTACAATTAATCATTGTCAGATATTATCTTTATTTGGTCAAACTATGCCACTGTGCCGCGACCCCCCTGTGCTGGGTTTTTTTATTTAAATTTTGAAAATAGTCCAGTTATGTGTACAAATACTGTATACATATTCTTTTCATCCAGCATATTTTTTTGAAATCAGACCATTTCTTCTTATTTAAGAGGGGTTCAAACTTGAAACATATGTATAAAAAAAACCCAGCACAGGGGGGTCGCGGCACAGTGGTGACGTGGCATAGTTGATTCAAGTATTATGATATCTGACAGTGATTAAAATTACAATAAAAAAAAAAAACGCTTCGATGCAAATCTTTAGATAGTGTTTAATTTTATAAAATTGGTGTATTATTCCAAAAGCAACATGATATGCTAGTCCCTTATTAATATCCTGATTAAAATAAAGTATGTCGAATGAAAAAGGGATTATTAAAAAATATTATTTCTCATAAAAAAAATTGTATTAATCCATACACTTTTCAATAAGTTATAGCATTTTAAAGTTAAAAATATAAAAAATAAAATCGAGAATTTTCACACAAAAATAGCATTCGGTAGCCATTTTTACCATGAAGATAAAATAAAGTCCGAATTTTTTTTTTTCATAATAAAGTACATAATATTAACATTAATTTAGATATATATAAAAGTATCAGACTTCAAAAGTTAAGTGTAAAAGTAAATTTTTTGTGAAAAAGTTATCATTATAAATCCCCCCCTGTGGGCAGATAAAGGGTCAGATTTACAAAAAAAAATATACCAAATGATAAGTAAAGATATCATTCATCTATATAAGAAAAATTGAAAACATTTCGAAAATTAGCGATTTTTAAATTTGTCATTTTTTTGGAGGTTTCCGCCATTTACGGGGAATAAGGGAATTTTTTTCAATTTTTGAGGGTAATGTCTTCGACTAGATACAATTTGTGATCTTTTGACCTATCGTTGAAAGAAATCGGTTCGATGAGAGCTGAGAAAAAGTGGTAACAGACACAAAAAAAAACACATCATAGTAAAACCAATACCTTCTCAGCTTCGCATCGAAGCTAATAGAACTTTTTTAACTAGAAATACTCCAGATTTGAACATATGTTAAATTATATTTTATACTATCGACCGTTAAACTTAAACAAGAATGTGATTTTGTTGTAAAAAATTATCATTTTTTATTTAAATTTTTTTTTCAACTAATTTGTTTCTATTTTAGGTTAAAAGTTGTAGTCCTATTGTAGAGAAGGGCAATTACATCATTATACACTGTGTTACAAAAAATTATAAAAATGATTTAAGTCTTAGTTATAAATATAATTCAGTAAGATTTTTGCAACTTTTTATGTTAATCAGATAAGTATATTGACATGAGGGAACTGCCCAATTGAAAAAAATATTCTAACTGCTAATAGTTTATGAAATATTGAGATTATTTATTGTTTTCTTTTAGTTCAATGGTTTTCTTAATGTATCGATCATAAAAAAATGTTTTTCCTTACATCTTATAATGGTGTCAACTGTAATGTCTCGATTGACAACATTTATAATTAACTAGCTTATTTAATAGATAATGATTTAATTAAGGAAATGACTATTTGATAATAAATTTTGAACCAGTAGTATTGAAATATTGAAATATTAATTATTGACAAACTTATATCTAGGTGAGAGAAATGTCTAGTTATAATAATAGCAGCACCCACTCTTCCCACCAGTTATAACTTTAAGTTGATAATAATTTCCGAAGTTTTGGTCCAAAAGTTGTTATTGACCAAGCAATTTCTTAATAAGATAATTTTTTATTTTATAAACTAGTTAAATATCAATGTTATAAATAAATATGTTGTCATTCGAGACATAAAAGTTGACACCATTATTAGGTATAAGGTATAAACATAATTTTTTTTTTTATGATTGATACATTGAAAAAAAAGAATCATTGAACTAAAAGACCAAAAAAAAGTTATTAGTATTATTTTTATTTTTTGATTAATTAAGTGGTTTATTATTATTGAAAAACACTGTATATTTATTCATTTAAGATAAAATGCTCAATAATGAGAAGTTAAATAATTTTTCTTTCATCCCTTCATAGATTAAAAAATCCTTAACATTAATTTTTTAAAATGAAAATCCCTAATTTTACATTGATAATATGCTTGGAAAAATAATTAATAAACAATATTGTTCTATAATTTTTTTTATTCGAAATGTTAAAATATATTTGAATTGTATAAAATATAATCCAGTATTAATTTTTGAAACACATACTAATTATATTTAGATATTTTATATTAAATATTAGATAAAAATACGTTGAATATATGTAGACAAGTGTTTAGTTAGTTGAATAATACTAAAATTTAAAGAAATTTATTTTAATACGACAAATATTTCATCATAAATGTTTATTTTATTATTTATAAATGTAAAACAGAATAAAAATGGGAGTTTTGAGCTTCGTCGAATTATATTTTGATAAATAATTTTCATATTAATTTTGAATTATAATTATTATTTCCCAAATGTTTTCATTAAAAAGTTTTAAGTTAAGTTTTTTATTATTTTCAGCAATTTTGTATACAAGAGTAGTTGATTCCAATTTAAAAAAAAAATCAGATCAGTTAGATAAATTACTAACAAATCCGGGATGGAAAAATTTGAATGATGTGTACTGTATAACATATTGTAAAAAAAAATATCATCTTAAAAGTTTGATTGAAGTACCAACAAGTTACATTCTACGTGATCCAAAAATACGAGCCTTGGCTGTATATCTTGGATGCACATATACAAAAGTTTTAAAATGTCTCTCTTATATCATTAGTAATGTTCTACAAAATTGTAATCAAAAATTTAAAGAAAATGACATAAATAATGGATGCATTTGCACCGAAGAACTCGTATATATAATATCAATGTTATTTGTTCCAATGGTAACATTGATGAAAGATGCCATGCATACTATAGATTTGTTACACACCAATCCATGGGCAAGGTGTGAAAGACTAAACTACATAGTAATTCCTTTATATGGTAGAATACAAAATATTCTTGACCGATTAAGCAAACCAACTTTATCACGTAACGATATATATACCTATACTTGGACATTAGATATAATAAATACATTTTTCGAAAACATAATAAATAGTGTAATCGATGACGCTGAACAACACTGTGAATATTATCCTTATGATACGAATTATTTATGGAAAGAATGGGTTAATGATTATATTGACATTGTTGTTGGCAAAGACGTTAAATTATCATTTTTTAAATTCGTAACCGAAAAAGCTAAGAATTATATTAGTACAGTAATAATAGAAAAGTATTTTCAACTGGGATTTAAATTTGATCCAATTACCGAAGAAACGTTTTTACCAACAGCAGATGAACTAAATGAAATAGGTACTTAAATTAAAAATATTAATTAAAATGTATAAATTTTTTGTCTTATAATTTGTTTTATGATTCTAGATTTGGAATGTAAAGCAACAAAAAAAGTGCTTCTAATACCAATGCAAATAGAAAATCATTGAATGTTGTAATAAAATTATTATATCTTAAATTTATATATTATAATTTATTTTATTTTTATTAATAATAGTTTTAATATTATAAATGTTAGTAAAATGGTTATTACCAATTATAACTCAGTAAATAAAGCAGTAATAATTGTATATTTAATATTTTATGAATTTATAGATCTTCTAATGATAATTTTGATTTAGAAAATTATCTTGATTATAATAATGATAATTGTATTAATCAAATTGTGCGATGAAATATAAATATTGTCATTACTTCTAATTTGCTACTGTTAATTATTTAAATATTATGTTACAATTTATTTTTTTTTGTCGTGTGTTCACACACTTGAGTATAAAGAAATTCTAAAACGCATATAGATCATATTTTACAATAAGTTCTAATATACTTGAAGCTGCTTTATATACAGTTTTAACAGATCATTATACTATAACACTTATGATTTATTTACGTCCTTATAACACCTATAATAAAGTCAATAATGTTGAAATAGTAGCTATTCATGTGACAAAAATTATGTAATCATCTTATTACTCATATCATTGTGTATTTAAAGCAAATATTGTAAATTTTTATCACAATTAACTAATATGTCAATAAATATATCTGCGAATGATAATAATGCTGATCTAATAATTAAATTTAAAAAAAATAATAACGTCATCAGCATGAAGAGAAACATCCTAAAGATAAAGAAAAATTATATATTTTTTTAAAAGACTTACTCTAAGATAAGCAAAAGTACTAGATATAAATCATAATATAAAGAGTAAAAGTAAAATATGTACTTTTGGTAAAATTGAATCCACATAAAGCAGAATTCGTTTGAACTATTCTTTTACGGCTTTTACGGATTGCTCTAGATTCTTGATAAATTAAAATTTGTACATAAATATACAGAGTGGAACAGATCTAGCTAACAACTCATATGACTTATGATCTACCTAACATTTTATAAATTTTTTTTTTATTTATTGAAGAGTCCATTTGGATATCAAGGTAATGTATTTCAGAAGTTACTAACAATTTAAATTAAAGACCAAAAGTAAGGAGCAGATGCTGCTATATTTCTTTTTTTTATGTTTGTTATCACTTTTTCTCAGCTCTCATCACACCAATTTCTCTCAATGATATATCAAAATATCACAAATCGTATCTAGCTGAAGACATTACCCTCGAAAAAATTTCCCTCGTTCCCTGTAAATGGGAGAAATCTCCAAAAAAAAAAAACCAAATTTAAAAATTACCTGCCAACAGGGGAGGATTCAAAATGACAACTTTTTCACAAAAAAATAACTTTTTAAAGTGTTCCGGAAATACTGACACATTTATATATACCTTAATTAAAACTAAGTTAAATTAAACTATCAAAAAAAGAGCGGATGCTGCTATATTTATTTATTTTTATGTTTATCATCACTTTTTCTCAGCTCTCATGACACCAATTTCTTTCAATGATATATCAAAATATTACAAATCGTATCTAGTTGAAGACACTGTCTTTAAAAATTAAAAAAATTTCTCTTGTTCCCTGTAAATGAGAGAAATCCTCCAAAAATTACAATTTTTAAAATCGATAAATTTGATAATTTTTTCATTCATTTTTCTTAAAACAGTGAAATATTTTATATAGAAATCTTATGTATTTTTCTTTAATTAGATATAATTTTTTTAAAATTTGCCCCTTTACTTCAGAACTAACTTTTTTTATTTTATATATAGAAATTTGTTCAAAATAAAATGTAATAAATGTTTAATTATATTTTATACATATGAATAATAAATGTAGAGAATATTAAAATTTTGAATTTACACTGACAGATTGAACCATGTAATTTAACATTTAATATTATATAATTTATATAAATTTTCATAAATATTATATAAATCAAATTAATATAGCATAGATAGTTAATCTTATTTAAATTTTTTGCTTTTTTTAAGTCGAGAAAAATAACTTTAAAATTTGAACTAGTTTAAATTGCTATTTTTTTCAGGCGATGGAAGTGACGTACAGTGTCGGTAACACTTGTGTCTTTCACGTTTGGAGGACGAAGCTCAAACCCGCCTGTTGCAATGATTTTTCTATATTTTTTTCTTAACTCTTTTTGAGTTAGAAAAATATGTTCAACTCATTTAATTTTTATCTCATTTACATTCAATAACACCAATAAATATCAAAGATCCCATCACTGTAGTCACCCCCTTGAGAAGAAATTTCATTAGTTCTTATTATTTTAGTATATGGTTATTTTTGCGGCTATCATTAATTTTCTCAGTTCTTACTTGACCTGATTTTTTCAATGATACGTTAAATGATTATAATTCGTATCTAGTTGAAAATATTACCCTCAAAAATTGAAAAAAATCTAATTTATCCATTAAACAGTTACTAATCGCATGTTCTTTTAAAACCATTCACTTCTAATATATTAAAAGTATTTACTTTTAAATTAAGTTTGATATGATAGGTTTTAACTACAAAATTAAATAATTTTACTTTGTAATTTAATAACTTTTTGACTCTATTTACTACCAGTCATTAATATTTCACATTTTTTGTTAACACGTATCATATGTAGCTATATGTATCATTTCTGAAAAATATGATTTTTAGTTTCGCCTGAATTTAACAATGGATTTTTATAATTATAATCAAATTTTATAAAACGCTCAAGTAGATTTTTTTAACAACATTTTGATTGTTTTTTTAGATTAAGTAAATCATTAAAATTAATTCAGTTCTGCATATTTCAGTTGTAGAATCTTTTTAAACGCCAAAAATTACTTAGAAATGATTACTATGATTTCTATTTTAATGATCTATTACGATTAAAATACAAAAAATATTGAGCTTTTCTTATAAATTTACTGTAAATAAAAATTATAAAATTTTCTGTCTACATATTAATTTTAACAATACAATTTGTGTTATTATCATAATATTTTCTATTTAATTATGTCAATTTCAAACTTGTAGTTGAGCTAAAAGTTATGGTAACAAATTCAATTTTTTTTTATATAAACTTTCACAAGATGTTATCAAAACATATATTATTACTTACAAATGTATAATGTAATTTGTTTGTAATTAGTCATTTCTATGACCTCATTGTATTATTGATACGTGTATACGCTTAATATATTTGTTAAGGACTTACGTCCGTTTATATTTAAAATAAAAAAATAAATAAAAACTTTTTCATCAACTTTAAAGAACTAACAAAAATAGGTTAAAAATGACATTTCACACTAATTATTTTTAACGTATTAAAAATCAAAATCAGTAATAATTTGAAAACAATTTTTTTTTTTTAATTTTTTTTTTTGTGCAAATATTAATTTTTTACTAATTGGTAATAATAACAAAAATTATATGTGATAGAAAAGGTCTAATAACAGCGCGAAAAGTTGATATAGAAATGTCTATTTTTGATTCTGATGAGAAAGATCTTTGTGTCCAGTCAATGTATTCATAAGTAACAAAAAATTTTTTTTGAATAGTATTGCATTAAGTATTTTAAATTTTTATACACGTTAAAAGTGAAGAAATATACAGCTACTATATTATTTTTATAATTTCTCCGTATAAATTACAATATTAAATTTTTGAATATCAATTTCATTCTGAATTTGATTATTATAATTAGTATTTATTCATATATTACACTTTTAATTCAAAGAACCATTAATCAGGGTAAAATTAAGAAAATAGGAGTTTGAAACGTTTCTACGTTTTTACACTTTTAAATTTATTAATAATAGTTAAATATAACGCAAATTTGTTCAAATAATTAATTAATTTTGTTTTATTTTAAAACAGATGAATATATACTAAACAGCTTACTATCATATCAGTCTTACTTTAGGAACTATTTAATTTAAGGTGAAAGTAGAAGTATAACCCTTTGTATCACGGTTGGTAACTTGTAGTTACGATCACCGTTGCAAAAGATTAAGGGGACTTTTACAAAAAGACAGTTATCTTGATCACGATTGATAACACGGAGGTTATGATCACAGTTGAAGATGAACTGTATTATGTAAGTGGAGGAATCTAACCCTTTTGACCACGGTTGGTAAAGCGTTATTACGAGCACCATTGCAAAGGATTAAAAAAAAGGAATATCTAGGAAAAGCTAGTAATCTTGATCACGGTTGATAACGCGATGGTTATGATCACCGTTGAAGATTGCACTAACTTTTAAAGAAAAGAATTTTAAAATATTTAATTTTGATCACCGTTGAAAATTATATGTAAGGAAAAAAATAAAGAAACTTTCTCAATGGAACGGTGAATGGATGAAAACTAGTCGGCAATTAATATTGCAATCACTAGTGAAACGCGGTTTTTAAATAACTTAAAGAAAAAACTAATAAAAGAACTATTAGAATAATTGTACAAGTAGTGACGGTGTACTTTATACTACCCGTCACCACCTGAGTAGTGTAGAACGATTACCCACTGATAACTTATTTTTTAAATACCCTCCAAAAAACAAATGCGTATTCTAATTTCTAAATATAATATGTAACAAAATAATTTACCAACATTACGATAAATATAATAAATAATAAAAAAATACATTAATTTATATTCTTTTGAATAAAAATTGTCAAACAGCGCTGTCCAGCGGACTTTTTTGCAACTGTCAAACAATGCTAAAGCTGTAGCGTAACGCTACAAGTTGATCTTGCTTTTGTAATTATCCACCAATTTCTTAGTACTAAACACTTTCTACAGATTTACATCGAAGCGTTTCTTATGACAGTGATTTTGTACACTGCCCAATATCATCTATACTAGTCCCAACTATGCCACGCTCACATTGTGCCGCGACCCCACTTTCCTACAGTTTTTGTTTAAATTAAATCTATTTTTATATACAAATCAAAGAAAATAATAGAAATTAAACTTAATATACCAACGAAGTTGAAAACACACATTTTTATTTGGTTTTACATTTATAAATAATAAAATTAATATTTATGATGAAATATTTGTCGTATTATTATAAAATTGATTTGAATTTTTTTGTTCTTCTAGTGTTATTCCACTAATTAAGCATTGGCTTTCAAATTTTCAAAATGCATTACAAAATAAAAGTTTATAATATATTTCATATTTTTATTTTTATTGAAAAAAACTATGTTAAAATATATAATTAACAGATGTTAATATTCCATTTATAACAGTTGTAGTTTAATGAACTAAAATAAATGTAACCTCTTCAAAACTCATGTTATACTCATTAACAAATATGCAGTCTTAGTTATAGATTTTTAATTATTCTGTCAACTCGTATAAATATTAATTTTATTTAAGCCAAACCCTTTTATATATATTTTTTATAAATATAATAAGTATATACATAATACAAGTTATCTAGAATCATTTGAAAAAATGTTCCATATTTAATTTGATTATTCATGTGCCATAATAAAAATTATCATACAATTATATCATTTAAATTTAGAAATTAAAAATAAAGCTATATTTATATACATATATATTTATGTATTTGCTAAACTATTATGTAATTATTGGTAAATTATAATGTATAAATATAGGATAAAATAATTGTATTATAACATTTAATGATTTTCTATTTGTATTGGTACTGGAACGACTTCATCTGTTGCTTTAAATCTCAAATCTAGATTCATAAAACAAATTATAAGACAACGAATTTATACATTTTAATTAATATTTTTTAATTTCAAATACCTAGTTCAATAGTTTCTTTTGCTATAAATGTTTCTTCAGTGATTGGATCAAATTTGAATCCCAGTTGAAAATACTTTTCAATAATTACTTCTCTGACATAATACTTAATTTTTCTGGTTATAAATTTGATAAATACTAATTTTATGCCTTGACCAATAATATTTTTATATTCTTGAATCCATTTATTCCATAAATAATTCGTATCATAGGGTAAATATTCACAATGGGGATTAGATTCAAGGAATAATTTTTCTATTATTTTTTCGAAATGCTCTACTGTATTTAATGTCCATATATATGTAGATATGTCTTTACGTGATAAAGATCGTTCATAAAATTGTTCATGAATATTTTCTATTGTCCCTAATACTTTAGCTACTGAGAACAAATTTCTATCACAATTAGCCCATGGCATTTCATGTAATAAATCTAAAGCGTCCATGGCACCTTTCATCGATGTTACCATTGGAACAAATAATAACGACATTATATATACGAGTTCTTCGGTGCAAATGCATGCATTTATTATATCGTTTTTTTTTAATAGTTTTTCACAAATTGTTTTGACGTTACCAATAACTACAAATAGACTTTTTAAATCTTTGGTGTATGAGCATCCAAGGTAAATAGACAAGCCTCGTATTTTTTGGTTACGCCTGTATTGATTTTTAGTTGCTTCAATCAGACTTTGAACATAATGTATTTTACTGTAATATTTTATATATATTACGTCATTCAAATTATTCCATCCTGAATATGTAATTAAAATATCAAACTTATCTGCCGAGTCATTGAAATCTGATTTAGCATTAATATAAAAAATCAAAGAAAATAATAAAAAATTAAACTTGGCAAGTTTTAATGGAAACATTTGTTAAATAATTAATAATAATTATAATGAAAAGTGTTGATTAAAATGTAATTCGAGAAAGCCGAAAACATCCATTTTTATTTGGTTGTATATTTATAAATAATAAAATAAATATTTGACATATTATAATAAATTTTAATATTATTTAACTAACTAAACATTTGCTATCAAATGTTCAATTAATTTTTTTAGATTCAAAGATAATATTACAAAAATTTAGTAGTATGATTTTCCACGGGCCTCTTTATTATTGGTGTTTTGTTAAAAATCTGATACTTATTATATTATTTATAGGAACAGTAAACAGTTATTCAGAAAATGATGCAAGTTCGCTAAATCCGATGTTGATGATTATAATTTATTCTGCTATTAAAAAATGTGAATAATATGGAGGACACTTATATATTACATACAAATATAACTTAAAAAATTATTTATTACCACGAGTATCTGACAATGTCATGTGTAACTGTAAGAATATCTATGTTTTTTTTAACTGTTAATGCTTTTAATTTATAATTTGTTAAACTGTTTACTGAAAACTATAAGTTATTATATCCAATTATTTTACGGTTGCAATTATCGGTGTCAGAAAGTCTTGTGAAAACACTGTCTTTAAAATATTTTTTTACAATATATTGTACATTGATTCTAATATCTCTCTGGTTATCATTAATAACTAAAATAAATTACATAAAATTAAATAATTTCACTAGTGTAGTTATATATCTATTATAGTGATATATTATTTAAGTCTGCTCATTATTTTATATTTATAAGACGTCATTTGAACTAGTAGTTTTTAATTGAGAATATTTACATTTAATTATTTACAGTTATTTATTTTTTTTACAACAAATTAAATACTCATATTATTATAAGATAAGATACCAAATATTGCTCTAAAAAATGATTTGTTTTTATTGTTATATTAGTTAATCTAAGTTTTTTCCTCGCAGGGGAATTCACAAGTATCACGGGCCTGACAACCCCGCGGACCCTAGTTAATTCAGTGGGGGTGGCAACACGTACCACTGCTCTTAGCCGGTCATGACTTTGGTTAATTAGGACCGGTAGGCCTGGGCACACCTGCTTGCTAACAGCGTTTGGTAAGAGACCAAAAAGACACATCATGGGAATATTAATACCTTCTCAGCTTCTCATCAATGCTAAAAATTAGTCATAAATTAAAATAATAATTTTTAGCTTCGATGCGAAGCTGAGAAGTTATTGGTTTAACTATGTGTTTTTTTTTTTTTTGTGTCTGTTACCACTTTTTCTCAGCTCTCATCGAACGGATTTCTTTCAACGATACGTCAAAAGATTACAAATTGTATCTAGTCGAAGACATTACCCTTAAAAATTGAAAAATTTTCTCTGTAGCTTTCGGAATAATACTTCAATTTTTTAAGATTAAACACTACCTAAAGATATGCATGGAGGCGTTTTTTTTTTATAGTGATTTTAATCACTGTCAGATATCATTATACTTGATCCAATTATACCACGTCACCACTGTGCCGTAACCCCCTGTGCTGGGTTGTTTTTTTATTATAATATAATATATAGACTATATTATAATAGTCTATACTGTTTTTTTTTTTTTTTTTTTGGTTTACTTTTATTGTTAAAAATACTAAAAACATATCTGTTAACAAAAAATCTATAGATCCTATAACAGTTTTTGAATTTTTATCAATTTCATACAAAACTTGTATTGTAAATAACAACAACGAGAAAAATATTGCTGTTGTTCATTAAATGAATTACTCATTATATCATATGAATATACTATTAATGCAACAATTGTTCCTAAAAAAACATTTTACACATTTTTCAAAATGCTTATTATAATATTTGGGGATTTTTGAATGAATGAAATTGAATTTGATGATAGACAAGAAATGGCTTAATGTTTGGAAAAGTTCAACTGGGTCTGGTTTTTATTTTTTTGATAGTTTCGGTTTCGGGTTTACAATCTATTGATAAATCGGTTAATAACGGTTTTTAAATATATTTTAAAGTAATAAAATTGTGTTTTTAGTGAAATGGAATTCCCAAACGAGTTATACAATCAAATGATATTAATTGAACGCTATGGTGCCATAACAATATTTATTGATCTTTTTAGATCCAATACGAAACTGAAAAAGTATTTTATTTAGCATAATGTTCGTCTTTTTTGTGACTGTCCATAAAAATTCTCACTGGATCAATTTCGCTGGTCAATATGTTATTTTTAACCCAACTTTGATTTAGTTTAAGATGTCACTTTAATATGGTGCGTGATGTGGTGCAGTAGATCATTCAGCCGCCACCTTAGGCTGGTGTTTTTTACTGCGCTGTTTGCTGTTAGTTCCCTGATAGGTAACCTACGAGAGCTTTAACAGTGACACACACACCATGTATACCTACTGAATTCATTGATGTCTGTGACTTCATTAAAGATTTCATTAAAAATATGTGATGTAAAAAAAAAAAACATGTATTTTATTCGTGTATTTCAATGACTACTTTAAAATTTGAGAATTTTTATGGATTTATTTTAAATATACAGAGTGATCAAAATTTGGTAAGACGCTTATTTTCTCAGAAACTATTGAGAATTTAAAATTTTTGTAAAAAGAAAAATTATGAAGTTTATAAAACTCTACAATAATATGAAGTAAAATAATTTTTTTTTTATCCCTTGAGGGATAAAAAAGTTTATTTATAATTTTTTTAAATGGGAACCACTATTTTTGATTTAATAATATGATAGAAAAAAAATTACAAACAATTTTGTTCTTATAATTTTTTTTTATCCGAACAACCGTTTACGTTTTATAATTGTTTAAAGATTTTGACTTCCAGAAAAAATATTGTCATTTATTACGTTTCATAATATTGGTGGCAGTACAACCGGTATTTTTGTTAGATCCTTTAGTCTTACAAAACCATAGACTTAGCTATTAATAATACACCGAAAACCCGGTTTGATTCTATTATTGTTATCACTCATATAGTGCGTAGTAAATTTTTATATCTAATTTACCTGTCATAACTAGATTAATAAAATATTGTTTATGCAACAGCAAATAAAAATAATGACTACTGTATTTAATACAGTAAAATGAAATAGAAATTTGGCCTAAAATCACATAACTTTAACAAGCTGTAACGGACGAACGATTAATCGGATAAAAAAAATTATAAGAACAAAATTGTTTATAATTTTTTTCCTATCATATTATAAAGTTAAAAATAAGGGTTCCCATTTAAGACAATTATAAATAAGGGTTTTTATCCTTGAAGGGACGAAAAAAATTATGGTTTGACTACATATTATTGTAGAGTTTTTTGAACTTGATATTTTTTCTTTATAATAAAATTTAAAATTCTCAATATTTTCTGAGAAAATGATTGTCTTACCAGATTTCAATCATCCTGTATTTCAATAGTATATTTGAAGAAAAATAGTTCAAATGATATTTTTTATGGTAAATAATCAATCTAGTAAGCGAGAAAGAGCATTTGAAAAGTATTTGCTCTTAGAGTAATTTATTGTGATGTTTATTAAATTATTATTACTATAAATGACATTAATTTTTAAAAAATTGGAAAATTAAAAATAATAGATAGTATATAAAACATATGTATTATACTTTTTACATAATACAATTTAATTTTGTATCAGCTTAGTACTAAGTTATTCAAGTATAAGGTTTTATTACTATGCATTTAAATAATTTTATTGTGATTATTATTGTGATTTTTCTATTTTTACTTAATAATTTTGTTTTTTTGGATAGCATAGAAAAAATTACTCAACTTAGTAATATTGTTAGACAATTTTGTATAATGGATTTCAATGGCATTGTATTTTTAAATGGTAAAGAACAATATTATTTTGAGAGTCTTTTTGATAACGATGAATACAAAAAGTATATTATCGAATATAGAAACGTTAATGAAGAAAGAGTAGAAACATCCAAAGAGTATGCATTAACAGAATATTTTAAGGTGAATTCTATTAATTACGAAGAAAAATTACAAATGATCTCTGGTATGCTAATGTGTAAATACCTTGAACAAATCAGATTAATCAATCGTCTCTTACTATATTTGTACGATGAATGTCTTAATTATATATATGTTGAAAATAATAGTGAAACTTATCATAAGATACTTCGCTTATTAATTAACAAAAATGAATATTTTATTTTTTTTTTAAGGCATTTAGCTAAAAATAATATATCCTTATCAAACCAAATCGGAATGGATATAAGTCCTTTGTTGAATTTACTACAAAGTGTGATTGAACTTCATCTTTATATAGAACATTTACACTTGTATCGGGATTCTATAGAACTTTTGTTTAGTCCTGAGTTCCAGTCTTCAAATGAGAAATGCAAATTTTTAAAAAAGATGCCCAATGATAACGATTATAAAAAAGAATTTATTGAACTAACTCAACAAAATTCTACGACCTATGCTGAATTTTTGACTGAAAAAATAGATTTTATTATAAATAATAGTTTTAAATATAATTTTTACTTTAAAGAAAATTTAAATAAGGATGATGAAACAAAATTCTCCATATAAACAAATATAACAATTAATTTAAAATTATATTTCTATTACGTAAACTAAAATATTTTTCGGTTGCTTTATTTGTTTATGCTCAATTTATTTTATGTTATTGAATATTTTTTTCGAATATTTAAATTATATAAGTAATAGTTTATAATTATATTTCGTTTTATATTTACTTTATGATATCATTAAATTTTATTATACAAGATGATTCTTTTATTCTTATGGACCAGACATTTTCTTAATTAAATCATATTTTATTTTATGTACTATTTAAATGTGTGATTTCATTTAAAAAAATAATATTGACACCCTTATAAGGTATAAAAGATGAATTTAAAAAGTAATTAAAAACTGGCAAATGAAATAATATACAACATTTAAGAAACAATAAAAATGATGTTCTTTACATAATTATTGTTTTATGGGAAATAGAGTCGTTAGCCTTAAAATAATAAATTTATATACGCCTAATTCAGCTGTCACGAAAACTAATGAGGTAATTCATTATCATTATTATTTTCATTTTATATACACAAAACGTTTTAATTATACACTTTTCAACATACATTTTAGCCTTTTATCAACTTATATTTTTATATTTAAATTTGTATTATCACATAAGTTTTCTATTATAGATTTTATATTAATTATTTGAACAATTATTCGTAAAACGAAGATTTATCTATACAAAATGTATTTATAAAAGTATTATCATATTAAAAGTATAGCATATTAGCTTCCATGCGAAGCTGAGAAAATATTAATTTTACCATGATGTGTTTATTTTTTTTGTGTCTCTATCACTACTTTTTCTCAGCTCTCACTGGACCGATTTCTTTCAACGATATGTCAAAAGATCACAAATTATATCTAGTCGAAGACATTACCCTTCAAAATTGAAAAAATTTCCCTCGTTCCCCGTAAATGAGGGAAACCTCCAAAAAAATTACAAATTTAAAAATCGCTAATTTTCGAAATTTTTTCAATTTTTTTTACTAAAATCTGCCATAACTTTTTCAAAAATGAACAAATCAATATAATTATTTTTATTGATGCTTGATGTCTTTACCTATCATTTGGTATATTTTTTTTTGTAAATCTGACCCTTTATCTGCCCACAGGGGGGGATTTAAAATAACAACTTTTTTACAAAAGATTAACTTTTGAAATGTTCCGGAAGGTCTGACACTTTTATATATATATTAAATTAAAGATAATATAATGTACTTTATTATGAAAAAAAAATTCTCAATTTTATTTTTTACATTTTTAACTTTATAATGCTATAACTTATTGAAAAGTGTATGGATCAACATAATTTTTTATGAGAAATAATATTTTTTAATAATTCCTTTTTCATTCAGGATATTAATAAGAAAATAGCAGATCATGTAGCTTTTGGAATAATCCACCAATTTTTTAAAATTGAACACTATCTAAAGATTTGCATCGAAGCGTTTTTTTTTCTAGTGATTTTAATCACTGTGAGATATCATTATACTTGATCCAACTATGCCACGTCACTACTGTGCCGCGACCCCCCTGTGCTGGGTTTTTTACTTTATTGGCATACTATGAATTCTTAGATATGAATCTCAAGATATTAATATTTTTATATATAATTTTTTATACCTTTGACAATAATTAATATAGTAAAATATAATAACAAAATTATTTATGTAGCTGCTACACAAAAATGTACATACAAATTTATATGAGTTGTAAATATTGTATTTTTTTATACAATTATTTTAATCAGTTCATTTCCCACGACCTTCCTCATATGAATTGTTTATTACTAAAGATCGTTCGTTGAAGGTACTATAATGGATTTTTTATATAAATACATTTTTCCATTTATCTCTAATTTTTCTGGTGTTACGTCGCTATACTGGTAAGACAAATATTCAATAACGATGAATCATATAAATGATGTAACTATTAGCGATATTTATGCAATTGTGTACACACTTGTATCTACGCGATTTTTATTAGAATATTTACTCGCGTGTAACTATTTCCTTTGTACAGCTCTCTATTAAATCTACTCAAGGTCAAAATCGAGTCTATTATTCTTTTGGTACCTCATGTAAACCCTACTTGTATATTTATGTGATATACTATTTGACCTTATGTGTAGTATTGTATACTAACACATTTGTAATTTAATAATTTGTAATACAAATAAAGAGATTTTAAATATCATAACTGGTCTGTTCAATAAACTATTTCCAGGTGTTTTGCGTCTTTTCAGTCATCCATTGAATGACCTAGGGTAGATGGGAGCTCAATTTCAGTTCTTTGCATAATAGATTATTCTAGTGTCTTACACTCCGACTGCCCGAACTGTTGCAGAGATCACACTGGCTAGTTGACAAGTGGAGAGGCACTTTGGAGAACTCTTATGTTTAATAAAAACTTTGATTGTGATATTATAATGCTAGTACTCTGTCTAGTCAGGTTATGGCCCTTCAATAGGTAATATACACATCGCAATTTAATCGTGTACTTTTTTAAAAGTATGTTAAGGTATATAAAAAAAATAATTGAATCAAATACCACTATGTTTTTTTTTGGCTTAAAGTATTTTGAATCGTTAAAAAAATATGTTCACTTAAATAAGGTAGTGTATAAATAAAAGAAGAACTAAGTCTTCGGGACAAAACATTTACATATACTGACGCAGAGATCATGTTTGTGAATATTGACTATGACCTCTCTTCTTTTAGGAAAGAATTTTGCTTTTAATAGACCGAAAAACTGGATTAGCGATATCTGGTGAGATTCTTAAGATTTTTTTTGTTGTATTTGATTAGTTAATATTATGAATCTTTTACTTGGTTGTTTTATGGAATGCGTAAGAGGGTAGTTAATTTTTGTGTAAGGGTATTATTTTTTTATTCTTCTTATCCATGGGAAAACATTGTATTTGGTGATATATTTTTATTAAGTATACTAATTAAGTATATTAAGTATGTATTAATAATTACATGTATTAAATGTGATACTACAGTTACGCTAGACATAAAATAACTTACATTACATTTCGTTCCAGTTACTAAGTAGTGTAAAACATTTTCGTTAAGACATGTTGTTATAGGCGATCTCTAGTATGATTTTGGAAGCAGATGCTTTTTAATTTAATTGGTTAATTACAATGGTTGAATATGCTTGCGCGTAAGCGTAATTTAAAAATCTGTATGATAAGTAGTTTTTATTCTATAATAAGCTAGTTATATTTTATTTTAAATAAAGGAATTTTGTTTTGGTGACCTTGAATATTCATTATATATTAATTATTATTTTTAATAATTGTGACATACATGTCCAAACTATAACGTAATACTATATTCTAATATTGCAAGTGATAATATAATATCAAATTAAACTTATTTTGAATATTTTGCAGTTTCTACCTGCTATGTCGATAAAAACGTTTTTAAAAATTTGATATAACTTAAATTTCTCATTGTCCTGGATGTGTATTGTACGATTACCGAATTGGGAACGCGTGTTATACAATCACTGAGGATAAAGAGTTCAATTCCTAATGGTCACTCTTAATTTGCACTTTTTCACATAAATATTATATTGGATTTTTTTAATTATAATCAATTTTTATAATATAATTGAGTAGATTTCATACAATTTTTTGATTTAGTTTCGACGTAAGACTAAAAAGTTATTGGTCTTGTGATTTTGTATTTTTTTTTGACATCATCATCTATTAAAGACATTGCCTTGTCGTTGAAGCCACTTCTCTCTGTATGACGCCAAATTCTTTAGTGAAATAAAAGACGCACAGTTTATGACTTACAGGATATGTTCAATATATTGTTTCCTTGGGCGTACTCTTGGTTTCTTCCCAGTTATTTTTCCTTAGAAGATGCTGATTAAAAAGTCATTGTGTCGGATGATTAGATTTATTTTTTTTTTATTCAATCACCTTTATTAGCCGTCTTTTTTCTCGTACTTCTTCTAGAACTTGCTCATTTCTTTTCTTGTCTATCCATTTTGCCTTTGTCAGTTTTTCCCATATCCATATCCCTAATGCTTCTAGTTTGCTTTTTTCTTTCTGTCAATTGTCTATGTTTCACTGCCATATGAAAGCACACTCCAGACAAATGTTTTAATGAATCTTTTACGTATGTCAATGCTCATATGTTTTTTGGTGAGAAGCTGATTCTTGTTTTGGAATGCTTGCTTTGCCAATGCTATTTTTTTCTGGCGTCCTCTGTTAATTTGTTGTTGGGAGTTATGATACTTCCAAGGTAGCAGAATTCTCGGACGTGTTTGTAATCGTGCATTGTTTATTTGAATATTAAGATATTCAGATTTAGATCTGAGTACATTTTGCTTATAAGCATTGTTTTGGTATTCATGGAATTTATTTTCTTATTATATTTACTTCTTTACTTCAATATAATATTTATTATTATAATTAATTGAAATTTTGAAATGATGTAAGAACTCCCTAAAAACATAATAAATAAAATGATACATTATGCAGAATAATACGTTTATATTATATGTTTAATAACCTGCTCAATTATATACAAAGTAAGAATATTTTAAGAAATATTTTTGTTAATTTTTTTAGTTACATATACTTCTGAAATTATCAATTATTACGTAAATTTTTGGTTCATTCCTTATAAGACTTATGTTGAAGTATTATTTTTTACTGAAAGCCTATGGAGTCATGTGTAGGAGGTCTAAGAAATCTATCTATTCTATCATTAATTTCACATATAGAACAAAATTAATAGTTATTATTTTTATCAATTCTACGATACAATAATATCTATTTATGAAGTACTCTAATTTTTTTTTTTACATTTTCGTAAGATGTTGTTAATAACGAAGCGTAGATTTTTTAAACAATTTGTGCATCCAATGTTCGTATTTTTCGATTACACGCATTGTGTGATACATGTGGTTGAATTAGAACATCAGGATAATAACTTTTATCGCAATACTTAATAAAAATCACATCATTTAAATTTTTTCTTCCTGAATACTTAAGTAACTCAACTAACTGATCTGTTTTTTTTAAGCGGATTTGCTTTTGTGTACATAATCACAAAAAATATTAACTTGACAAGTTTTAATGAAAAAATGTCAAGTTTAATTATTAATAATTACGACTGAAGTTTTTATAAAAGTATAAATAGACAAAGTGTTAATTAACCAGTTTTTATTCTCATGTACATTTACAAATAATAAGATTACACTTTTATGATAAAACACTTGTCGTATTGTAATAAACTGCTTTAAATTTTTAAATCTTAGCAATTTGAAACTAACTAAATTTTTAATATAGTTTTCAAACGTTATTACTGGATAATATTTTACACAATTCAAAATTAACGTTACAACATTTTTATACTGATTACTACAATAATATATGGTATTACATTACTGGATTGAAATTTTAATATGTAACTGAAAAATACAAAAAAAAAAATTCTTAAAATTTTTATTATTCTACGAGTAATTGAGTAGTTAATGATTCGCAGATCATTCTGTATAGTGTGTCTTTATTATTTTTAAACACAATGATTAATTGATTATATTCATTTAACCAAATTACAGAATAATGATGTACGGGTGTTAAATTTTTGTAACTTGCCTAACACAAACAATGTCGAGGTGTTTATTTAAAAGAGAAAGATGGCATGTAAAAAAATTACCAAAGGTGTTGGTATGGTGGACGTAGACAACACATATCTTATTACGTAAAATTATAGCCCGTTTTTAACAATAGTCACAAAACAATAGAATCGACACAATCAAAAACATATAACAGTACAACATTAGGGCGTTTTCAATGTAAGATACACGATGATCGTCGGAACAAAAAACCAAATAACAGAAAAGTCGGAAGCGCAACGACCTTTATAACCTGACCTTTCTTTGCGTCAGAAAAACTCAATCGGTTATATGACCGCCGGAAGGTAACAATCAACAACTGATAGTCGACTTGGCTCTGGTGGAGGGCGGGGAAATAAGCGATGACCATCGATTAATAGGTAGACGGCTGATAACGAGAGACACGAGTGATAAAGAACCTAGAAAGGTCCTTCACATGGATTAAAAATGTTTTTATTCTAATTTTTTAACAAAATAAAAATTGCGTATTAAACGACATTTTATTCTTTCGCTCTAGGATAATCCGTTATAACTATATTATGTTATTATTATTTTTAATACAATAATTAAATAATTCATTTTTTAATAAATAAAGCCCGTAATTGAAAAAAATTGGGCAAAGATGCTCCCTCTCCATTAGTAAATACATATATAATACATTTTTTAGTATTATATAAATTAAGCTAAAGTATTCAATTTGCTCCATACAATGGGCAAGATGACGAATTTGACTTTTTTTTCTACTTAATTAATAATCCTCAAAATAATTAATATTAATTAATTTCAAATTATTAAGTTGAATACTTTCTTTTATGAAATTCAGCTTAAGGGTGACAATTTGTCTTATCTTCCACTACTTCTTTGTGGTAGAGTGTGTGTTTTAATTAAATTTTCTAGTTTATATAATTTCTCGCGATAAATATAATGGCTCAAATCTATTGAATTTTTTCATCTTGAATATTTTAGCAAATTTTCTAACTGTACCCTTATTTTTTTAAAATTCAATAACGCGTTCTTGTTTAATAACAAACAATAAAAAAAAAACATTTTTTTTTTAAATGTAATCAAAATATCTTTTATATAATATACCAAATAGTAAAAAATCAATGATCGTTAAATTACAATTTTATTTTACTAAAGTATAAAACAGTTACATGTATTATTTTCTGTATTTAAAAAAAAAACAGCAAAGAAACAATTTACTTATAAATTTTGGATTGACAAATAGAATAATGGTCAAGTACAAAATTAGTTTTAAAATTAATAGTTAACATTATACCTTCTTAGCTTTGCATCAAATCCAAAAATATTTGTAGTTCTATGGTGAATTTTTAATTTTTTATTAAAGAGGTAGTTGATTCAATATATTTTAAGTTAAAAATTGTCATAACGAAGGTATACCATATCAAAAAGAGTTATACGTATACAAAGTGGTCGATTTATTTTTTTATTTCATAAAGAAACAATAGTTGACTATAACTTTTTACAAAACCGATAAACTTATGCCGATACCGTTTATAGATTTTAAGTAAAATTCGGGTATTACCAGATTCGATTAAACCATTTTTTTTTTAACAGTTTCAAGCTCTGATTCTTAGTTATACACTTAAATCTGAATTATAATGATATCTATACATGTCTGTATTAATAATACTTAGCAAATTACATAATAAATACTTTACGTTTGAATGTTACAAAACAGTTATTGGCAGTCATAATATGAAATTTAAAAATGTTAAGTCCTTTTCTATTTTAACTCTTTAATACATATTTTATTCAATAATTATTTTGTTTGATCTATTTAATGTTTTTAAATTAATTAAATGAAATCTTTATTTCAGTTTTGAATTCTCTGAAAGACAAGATATATTTAGAAAAAAAATATATTGATGGAAAAAAATGTAATTTCAAAATAAAAATACCAAAAATATTTAAAAATGTGTTTATTTAATTTAAAAACGAAACCACAGTATTTTGTAAATTATTTCTTTATACAAATGATAAAATATTGATTACTTTCAAAATAAATAAAATATAGGAAAAATTGATTTTTTTTAGCTTAATTTTTTATTTATCAGCTAATAATTACTTTTTAGAATCATCTTTTAAAACTTAAGGGAGTGTCAATTAATTTTTTTACATGGAAGTACATATTTAACACTTAACTGTATATATTAATTTATATGCTTACAAAAGTGGCTTTAAATTTCATGTTAAATGAGTGACTATTGGACTTGTTCTAAAACACAATATTTTAAAGGTCGAATTTCTAATTCATGCAGTTAAAGTTAACCAGTTTATAATAAAGACAATAATCTTATTAAAAAAATGACAGGTCGATAAAAAATGTTCAACTAGTCCTTTGGAAGTTATCCACATTTTTATATTTATTTGGGCGAAGATGACTAATGATAAAAATAGCAACACCCAATTCTCACTTCCAGTTGTTAATTTAAATTGTTAATAACTTCAAAAATACTGATTCAAAAGATGTTATCGATCAGTCTCATTTTCTTAATTAGTTTATTTTATATTTTTAGTCTAGTTAATATATGGTCCCGTTAAAAAAATATACAGCTTAGATCCCTTTAAGTTATAAGTGATGATTATAAAAAGTAATTAATAGCTATAAAATCAAAAATATTAAGACTATAAGAATTATTAACAGAAATCAACATTTTTTTTTTGATGTTGTATTTATATTGAAAGTATTCGAGCGGTTTATGATAAACCGATCAGCTGTAAAACTTTTTAAAAGGAAACTACTTATATGTAAATGAATCCATGAAACGTAAAAAATTGTATAGCACTAAAGTTAATTATATCTTTATAAAAAAGTACAACATTTTGCAGTTTCATTTTAATTCAGTGGCGCAATTGTGGGGTTGTACTTGCGCACCCTTAATAAAATGGCGATCAGTTAATTAAATAAAGTTTTTATTGACTGTACTACTCAATGTAGATAAGTATATTGTCTGATTAAATTTACATTTGATTATCATCTGAAGTATAGCTATGTCTGTCCTATTTTTACTGTTAAGTATTACGAAATATTTTTGTTATCCATAACCGGTGTAAAACAGTGACATAGTTATATATATATTTTCACTATACAACAAATTTATATTATTTGATATGACACGCATATCCTTCACTATATTAGACCAGTGGTGTATATCTATAGTGTGTTATCTCAACAGCTGTCATATTCTTATTTGTTTCTGTAATTAAAGAATTCGATAGTATTTTTATTTTATGATCACGTTCCATAGTACACTTGGTCATTTCATAGTAGTCACGAACACGTCTTTTTATGTCTTCAAAAAATTATTGTTTTCCTTAATTATTTTTCCTATCTTATTTTGATTGAAAAAAAAAATGTCAATATTAAATATTTTTCATCGCATTTTTATGTATAGTTATTCATTGACATTATTATTATTATTGTATTAAAATATCATAAATAAATGTCGATGTTCATTTTTTAGCTACAAAATTACATGTAAAATGTTATTTCACAACATTTAAGACCTTTCGAACAAATTAGTTTAGCATTGCTGAGGGGTAGATGTTTGTATTGAATGTTTTCTTAATGATAATGGATGTGATACGAATGCGATAATGATGCTATCACGTACGCCCCTTGTCGGCCTAAACGAGGAGTGTATTTTGTAGTTCACAATCTCTTAATAACTTTTGATTTTGACTTGGTAAAGATATAATAATATATTTTTGATACGATGTCGTATGCGTAATGATAAATTATTGGGCGGTAACGCAGTAGCAATGGGTACGGTTGTCGACCGAAAGCATTAACAATGCTTGTTGTTTGTGATAAATCCACGTAATACTCCGGCGACCACAACGGCCGGGGTAGGAGTTGCAGGAGGTAATTTCAACGTTCCCATAATGCGTTTTATTATCTTATTCTATTGTTACCGTTCGCACAGTCATTCTCGTTGACAGTGGCGGTATAATACTAACTTCTGAATTAATTGCTACAGCCTATAATATGTTCTTCAGCGAGTTGGTTTTGCAGTGGGGTTTTCTCGTAGCCACAACAAATAACATGAAGAAAATCAAGGATACGCACAGGCTGAGATTTTAGCAATTTTAAATTGCTACATTGAAATATTATTTGGGAGTTGTACACAGGAATTGTTTACCTATCCATTAATTGTAGATTGTAGTTTTATGAAGCGATTTGTCTAATTTGATGATTCATGAAAATGCTTATACATTTATTGACGTTGGTCGGGTTGTACTCGGAAGGAAATAATAATAATTGGACGCGTATGTACTTTATGTGTTCAGAGTATTTTTTTATTTTACAATATTTTTCGCCTCCCTCTCATCCGTTACCCTGGAACGACACCAAGAGGGGAGAGGCGTGGCCCGGCGCGAGGACACACGCAAACCCCTGTTAACCGTAACGAACGAACATCATAATAACAAAGCATTAAAATCGAGTTCGGTTGAGTAGTAATTGATTAACACGGCGGCGGCGCGAGGTGTACGCCGACGGCCAAATGCACGGGACGGCCGCCGTTATGGTGGTGGGGACGGTAGGCGGATACCGGCGTCCGTCCAATGTGCGTTACGATGGGCGTGACCATCAGCGAGATGTGCCCGAGACGGCCGCCGGCCTAGGTGAGTGATCTCACATTTAACGTTGGTCGTTTTTTTCGGTCACTTCATCTGACTCTGCCGTCGTTGTCGTTATTGCCGCCGTTGTTTTCGTGAGTTTTACACGTTAATCATTTTTATCTTTTATTTTTGCTTGTCTAAGACTACTTGGTTTTGTGTTTCCGCTATTCTACAAAAGTGCGAATATACTTTGTTTATCTATAAAAATAATCGGTTACATTGTGCGGTTTGTTGTTAACCGGTTCATAAATAGACACAGAATAGTTCGTGAAACAAGTCCAAGAAGCCAAAAGTGGTGGTCATCGGACACCACAAATACAAACAAATAAATATTCAAATATTGTCCGGGGTGCCAAACATTCACCACGACGGCATCACCGGGAGCACAAAGCGGGACGACCAGCGAGGCTGAGGACTCGTCCAGGTGAGTGTCCTTTGGTTATATACCGTGATTTTTCATCATTTTCTAGTCCTAGAAAAGTAATATTGTGGAAAAATTAAAAATATAAGAAAATTTTACTTGTTTACTATAAAACACTTATTAGCTCCGCGATGGTAGTAAAAATACTTGTCTCTAACATCATTTTGGAACGTGATAAATAATATTCGCATGCATTTTTTGTAATAAAAATTTAAATTTTGGGTCTTAAAATATGATTGACTACAAAGGTAAAATATCTTTTAATAATACAATAATTAATTTATAAAGGACACCATTAAATATTAGTAATGCATAAGTGAAAGTTGATTATAATAAAACATCACAGAAACGGCCCTTTGCGAGTATAAACCGGATCGTTTAGTAAATAAAATAAAATTGTCACCAATCATTTTTGTTATATTTAAAAATTAAAAAACATAAAACTCGGTACATACGTTGACGCATGTGTTTGAATTTTAGGTCGTCGTTGGGCTCAACAATGATGTTAACACAGCAACATCATCATCATCACAATATGTTGTCACCCATGTTCAATTTTTTGGACGTCCCTTGTAGTAGTAGCCCGCCTTTAGCTGCATTACACACGATGACCGAAATGAAGAACGGATGCACAGCCGGTAATCCGCATGGCATCGAACAAATATTATCGCGGCCACCGACCACTGGAGCGGCCGTAGCCATGAGCCATCAACAAAGGGCGTTCAACAGCGTGGCCGGTATTGCCGCAGCCGGTATGGCCGCTGCAGCTTCGTATTTTCACAACGGCGGCGTCAAACACCCAGCTACTACTCTGGCGGACCTAACTACCAGAAACCTCTACTGGCCCGGATTTCAAGGGCTAGTAAATAACCCAATAGCTTGGAGGGACAGGCTGGCTAGTTGTAAGTAACGATTTGTTACATAATATATTCCCTTAAAACTTCTATTACTGATCATCAAATCTATATTTAATTAACGATAATTTCTGTAGTTTAATTAAATTAAAAGAACCCAATATTTATTTAGTTTATTATAGCAAGTACTACAATCACCGATATATGATATATTGAAGATTTTATAACGTTGTAATGAAATATTTCAATTCATTTTAAAATTATTATAACTTAATATATATACACACATGGAATAATTTGACGTCGCATTAATCTGATACTAATCAACGTAATATTATTTTCATATTGATATATTTCATTATTGGTCATAACTTCTGTAAATTTTTATATTTAAACAAGTAAACAGTCGTAGGCTAAGACATTTTTAGTTGAAATACAAATTCGCAATTTTAATGTTGAAAGTATAAAATCTAATATGTTTTATATTGCCACTATAGTTACTATAATAAACTAATATCGTGTTTTCATCATTCATTTTTAACTTGTACTTACTTGAAACAATAAAAAACAGTCCCTTTTAAAATTCGTCGAGGCTACTCAATTGACTTTCCTACATATATATATATATGAAACATTTGATAACGTTTCGATTTATCTACGATTTGTTCGTTTTTATTCGTATATTTGATTGTGTGCGTACTACAGGGCCATGTGTATGTTATGTACGTTATATGTATAACAATATAAGCATGAAATGGGCTTTTTATAGGTCTATGATTTGAACGGCTGACCAGTAAAGTCGTATTTGTGTGTATATGTAGTGACAAATGACGTCCTCGCGTAAATATCGGCAACCGCCGTGGCGGTCAAACCGTCGGCGGCTTCGGTAACAGATGTGCTCGATTGCTGCAAAACCAACCCATTCTCTCCTTCCCTCCCCACTCGTAGTATACCTCTCCTTTCCCCCGTACTTGGTCTGTGGTGTGTAGGCCGACACAAACTTCGTTTTCAGCATAAAAAAAGGGGATGAAAACAAGCATTTGAGAAAAAAATACACTCAAAACTGTTGGGCTGCTGTTACGATCCTCCCTTCCGCTCGCCGTTGGAAAATATCCGTGGGATTATCCGGGGATAATGTTAAAGGTTTATATTTCGTCACATCATATTTTTTTTTGTTTTAACGATGAGGCGGTCGTTGCAATTTTCAAAATTTAACGACCGTATAAAAACACGATACACGTGTAAAAAGAGTAATATGTATTTATAGATTTTTCCCACCGTGTCTAATTGGAGTAATATAAAATATAATAACGCCACATACCATTTGTTGATAGGTGTTTTTTTTTCTTTTTCAATTACAGTTCTCGACTGATACTAACAATAACAAAGGGTCATAAAAAACAATAAAGGTAACCGAGAACACTGCGCGTCTCACCGGGTCGCGGAATTAATTGGTTTAGTTTATGGCTTGTTGTTATTTTCCTAGTAACGTAGTACGCAACAGGAGAGGTCACCTTTTTGATTCTCAGCATATTTCTTAGTAGTGTACTTATTTACTCTGCGAAAATTCAAAGAACAAAACGCGCGAGTACTGCAAAATATCCGAAATGGAATTTTTCGGCGCGTATGGCGCAAGCGTGTCGATACAAGAACCGCGAGGATTATGTATATACCTACGATACGGCGACGGACCCCTTAGCCACTACCCTCGGGAAATATACGCGAAGGGGCTGTCGGCATGGCCACGTTCTAATAATACCCTTCTGAACCGCCATATTATAACTCACGCCGACATTCTGTCGGGCTCCAAGGCCATTATTATGTACCGGTAGAGTTGATCACGCAGTGTTTAGAAGTTTTGCACACAAGACTTAATTAATTATTTCTTCGACATTTAACTGGCGTGTAATAGATAGACACACGTTGTATGTATAATTTATGATGGCGGTGGAATAACATTAAATGAAACTAGACGCCAATAAACGCAGCGTTGACTACTAAATAACGGCAAAAATTGACACACGGAGGTACATGGTGCGACGACACACATTATATTTCATAAAATTAAACGTCATAGGCTTCCGATGTTGCTAAGATTTGTCACGGCCAAATTATAAGGGATAATAGTTTGTCGTGGTAATTGTTCGTGACTAATGGTCGTATAATTTCAAAATGAAAAAACTGGAGGGACGACGACGACGTACACACCTTTTGGAATAATTAGCTTAACCCGACAGTAGCAGCTGTTTTGCGCATTATTATCATAAAAGACATGGCGAACAAGAATGTATATATGTATTAAATTGGCATCTACGTATAATATCATAAAATTGCAATATGTGCCATTGTTGGATTTCTATGCGGCCGTTTTAACACATAATATGTATTATTCATATTTAAGCGACTTGATGACACGAGTAGATACGAGTCCACTGAACAAACGAAGACGGTTAAAAAAATTACGAAACTAGAAATGACGATTATCCGGTGGTTTAGTAAATACCTATATAATTGACAAGATGCGGACATGGAGTGTATAATTTTACGGTGATATTGTGTGCGCGTACAACGGAAGCTTGCAAGTTTTTCGGTCTACAAGCACCTGTCTCGACCCTCTTTCTCTTAGCTCCCTAATCCGAACCGGGTGCGGTAGCGGTTGTCCTGGCAAGCTGTTGCAGCGTGCCGAAAGTGTTATGGCGTGCGGTAATCCCGGCCGAAACTGACCGTTGGACGTGGCCGGTCGGGTGGCCGCAGGGGATGTTGCCCTTGTACCGCACCCCGCGTGCTGCTGCTGCTGCTGCTGTGCGATCCCTAACGGGCGCAATATCGTTTTCAATCTACGCAACGAGCCATTCAATTAGCTTCCGTCACAGTGTCAAACAATAAAAAGCGGGGTGCGTTATCGTTCTATATACACCCCGTGCAAACACCACAGTTGCCGCCAAATATTATAAGGGTCAAATTATGTAATGATTTCGAGGGGCGCGCTTTGTTCCGCAATAATAAAGCTCACTAATACGTCGGTGGCTCTTCCAAGTATCGCGCACAGTGTTGTTTTTTATGTAGTCGTGTAACGATATCCGGTAAACGGTACACGTTGGCGTTGACGGCGACAAACTTGTCGACAACTGCTTTAGTTTTCATATTAAATAAAAAATTATCGAACCTTTTTTTGCGCGCTCGAACGGAGGTCCAACCGAATGATTGTCCGCCGAGCCAACAAATACACCCAATACATATCGTACGTCTTCGTCTCGGTTTTTCGGTATGGTTGTGTTGGTTAAACAATAACTATATCTTAGTAACACTATTCGCAACCCTTTCGGTTTTTGCGGGTAAACAATTAGGCACGCGGCCAAAACAAATAGTTTTCGAAGTGAAATTCAGAGAGAAATTGGTTTTTCCCGTGACTTGGATCGTTTCCGTAGTTTGATAGAATATCGTAAAGTTTGGTTTATTTTTAGATAAATACCATAACTGAAGACAAATACACGATTGTGCGGTTGAAAATAAGCTTGTAAAATATTCTTGGGTATAAAAGGTTTTTTTTTTTTTTTCATCGCAATTGTAGTACATTGTTTTTATGCGACATGAATATCTGTCGGTAACAGAAATGTGGTGAGCGCGGAGACGAATGGAAAACATTAAATCGAAATGCAGTAAACAAAGATTGTCGCGGTGGCTTGTGGAAATGCGGATCGTATATACATGTAAAATGATGATAATAATAATAATAATAGTAGTAATAGTAAAGCTGTATGTGTGCGCGTTTGAAGCCGATGTGCCGCGGAAAGATAGAAAGAAGATAATATATACACATGTATGTGCTGCTGGGCGGGTGTAGACGTCTCTTCTGCTGCGGATTGTGTTAACAAAATGAAATTCTCGTTGACACGCTTTTCCCGGAACGCTGAATATCACCTCTTCTTATCCTCGTCGCTCCAGTGATAAAAACATAACGCCCCTTTCTTCTCAACGTCCTCCCACGCATCCCTTCGCCGGTTTTATTTTCCCTTGTGGATTTTTCCCCGGGAAAACGTTCCTGTGTGTGTGTGTGTGTATATATACACGAGTATTATATTCGCCCAGCTATTTATTTTCTCTGCACGCGTTCCTTTTAAACGTGTTTTATGTTGTTGTCGGGCTCCTTTTATTATATTACTTTTGCCCGTTGTTTTAAACGCAATGTTATGGCTGTATATATGTGTGCTAGTGAACATTTGAAAAATATAGCAAAGGGGTGCGGGTAAGAGGAGATCACGTTATGTACCGTCGTGTTGCTGTGTGGCGGCGTCTCAAAAATCGACCGCAACGATCATTGGGCCAGATTGCTTCGTTTACGATATTATTCCGTACTTGTGTATTTGTGTGCGCGTGTATTTTTTCTTATATTGGAAAACAAAACTCTAAGGGGAAACGATGTTATTGTTTCGCTGTTATGTACGTTATGGTCGAAAATACATTTGCTATTTTCTTTTTTTTCCTCTCTTAAACTCGATTATAACAGCCGTATATAGTTTTACCAATGGTAGCAAAAAGAAGTTTACAGCATCTAGTGTAAATGTAATAACGCGGTCGAAAAAATTAACTGTTTTTCTTTTCCCTTGTAATATTTCGTTGCTATGGTTGGTCGTTACTCCGGTTCGATATAAGTCACCAATAGATCTGTCCATAAAGTCCTGTGCCCATTTTTAAAACCGATTTTTATCAATTATTGTTGATGAACAATAATAATGTTATTGTTATTTTTTTTTTTTTACAGTAAACAATTCGAACCAAGACAAAGACGGTAAGAAGAAACACACTAGGCCCACGTTTAGCGGCCAACAGATTTTCGCGCTGGAGAAGACGTTTGAACAAACAAAATACCTGGCCGGCCCCGAAAGGGCGAAACTGGCGTACGCGCTGGGCATGACCGAGTCTCAAGTTAAGGTAAGCGACATAAATCTATTGTGCCGATGTTGATAAAGTAGCCAAATACCGTTTTCCGAGCATAAAACAACAAGAAACAGTAAAACAAAACAAAGTTGGGGTCTGTCTGCGAGTTAAATTATTATAATTTAGCGACGGGGCGTGGTTCGAGTTTTGAATTACTTTGTAAATACATATTGTTATCATTTCCCTCCATAAGCGCTGCGAGGATTCTTTTTTGCATTAAAAATTATATTATTATACGAATTTACATTTTTATTGAAAGGCGGTGGCGGTTTTAACGTGTCGTCGCCATTCCGCTTATTATTATTATATACGTGTGTTTTACTCTGTCGGCACACGTTGTTGAGGGCGATTCAATTATCTGTGTAATCCTCCAATTATAGTGACGGATTCTGTGCGCCCGCTACCGCCGTTTCCCCAAATACATAGACAACACACAACCGTTACCGTGGTAACCGATGGTAGTAACTTTATGGCCGACGGTAGCGGTGACGGCGCTTTTAATTGCCCCGCGAAGAAGCGCTAACGATCCGCTTCATTTTTCCTACCGCCGTCTTTTTGGCCCGGCCAGTGCGGAGAGGCAGCAACGGCACCGCCATAAATCACTCGTTGAACGACGTGGCACTCGGAAACGTTGGCGGCGGCCGACCCTCTTCTGCCGCAAACATCCGACACTTGATGACGACGCTTCATTAGTGCACGCGCCCGCGTGTAACCGCTGCTTGTAAAACGCCTCCGCCGTCGTTGTCGCTTAATCTCGGTGCACGAATAGCGCACGTGCCTGTGCCCGCGTAGTACGTCCCTGTCGTTGCTCTTGTTGTCGCCGTAATAACAATAATATTATAACGCGTTCAATCAAAATATTGTTACAACAACGCACCCGAATGTTCGCAATGTATTTAATATGTTCAAAAAAGGGGTAGTTGAATACGTGACGAAGAATCACGTGCGAGTGTTTTGTCCACGTTTTCTTCGTGTAAATTATGTTTCTAGTCATTACTAAAAACATATCGCACGCCTAAATTACTAAAATTTCATTCATTCAAAGCGTAATGATGAAACGATCCATTGCAGTGGGCCGTAAAAGCTGAACGATATGGCCGCATCGATAAAATTTACATAAGACATCAGTAAATAAATGGGAACAGAGTAGCAAACGGCAGGTCGTTATCGTGTTATACTGCGCGAGCAATTATATTAAAACGTACAATCCTTTATTTCATTACTTGTATTGAGTGAGTGAGGACATAACAAAGAACTGGGGAATAATAAGAGTATCATACAATAATAATGATAACAATAATTCCGACCCCTCCCGGTAAAATATTTCTTTCACGTCCGTAACGTTTAATTTTTATCGTTGCCAGTAAAAGACTCATCGCGTTATGGTTTTCGAGAGATTTATACGCGCGTTTTATTTTCCTGAACTTTCTATTGTCAAAACTTTAACCGCTTCAGTTTGCCCCGTGCAATTCTCCGAGGTGTTTACCAGATCGTATCAACGTGTGTTACGACGGTGGTTTCATTGTAAAACAATTCAGCCGACTATAATTAATAATATTAAGGAAATCCCGTAAACCTCCTTAAGAATGTTTACCCGGTCTTGAGTCTCGGTGTTTACATTTCGGTTTCGCATTAACCGTTTAATTAGAAGTTAATACACGCCGAACGGGATGTTTAGAATGTGAGCGCACACTGCGAGGGTTTTGAGAACAAGATCTTTAGGAGCATTTCTCCGGCCAAAGGAGTAATGCCTCGTATAATTATGTTTGCACTTGGGCTTTGTGCCCCCCGCCGTCCTATACCAACTTGCGGTGCTCACGCAAGTCGAAGTGCGCACTTAGTGTGTTGGGTGTCGATTTTCATTTGATGGGATCGCACGAAAGTCATTGTCGTGAACGGCGAATATAATCGAGTTAGACGACGCGCAGTAATGTAATTATATTTCACTCGTCGGAAACGGATAGCGCGTTTTTTACTAAATCAATTTAATGAGGGAGTCGGCAACGAGATTTCGTTTTGGTTACAACAATAACAACAACAAGAACAAAAGTGTTGGCCCGCCTCGTGTACAAACACAGCGCGGCATTAGCGTACGGCAAATCGGATTAGTGTTTGAGAAAAGGCCATATGGGTTACGATGATTTGGCTAAATGCGACCGAGTTCGGAGTTAACCGTCCGTAAACGGGTACACTTACAACCCCTTTTTGGGTTTGACTCGATAAACCAATTATTATACGCTTACACGTACAAAAGTTTGGGCACCGCGGTCAGCTCTGTGTATACGTTTTAATGATATTATACGCACATATTTACTTATGGGCGTACGCAATCAATTTCTATAAAAATTTCATCTGGAGAGAGGGTCGCGCTCCGTAGCCGTTCTGTACGGACAATAACAACAGTTTTCGTATGGGAGCGCGTGTTAAAACGCATTTCGTTAAAACTAATTCGTTTAACTGGAAAACAAACGTTGCCTTTTTAATGTCGGCCATGCAGCGTGTGTTATTCTCGTGATTAATTGACCGAGCCGAGTACGATGATGAAGCCGCGCTAGTCTGTACCGCGCCGGAGGCTTAATCAGTTCGGATCGACAAGAGCGAAAAAGTTTCTACTTTTTCAACACTCACGTGCACTTGCCGTTATTCAAACGCTTAAAATTAGTTGCGCTTGTAACTAGGCGGGGTGCGATTATTCATTTATTGCGAGTCCTAGTTGGACTGCCTTTTGATGAGCACCGCACAAACGTTATCTTTCCGTCGACGGGTTTACGGTCAAATGTATTTTTATTTTCGCCGCCGGACCCCCCCCACCCATCCCTCCAAGGGAAACGGAACAAATTTGCCATTAAATACGCTTTGAATAAATAATAATTGGAAATTATAAAATTTGTTGTAAAAACAGAGAGGATTTTTTGAGTATTATCCCACATCTGCAATTCAATTAGTATTAGTAAACGTGTATTTTTTACATAAATAAAAACCGTTTTAATTAAACACCGCAAAAAGTTTAAATTGAATATCATTGTATTTGAATTGATATCGTCGTACAGTGTTGTTTTCGTAAATTGTTTTCTACACTAATTTGTTGTTTCGCGCGCGTAAAAATAACTGGCAGCTCTGTGTTTGTAATTATTTAGTCGCTAACTCTGCGAACGGGTACGTTGCACTCACTAAAATGTAAATTACAACTCGGGGGGAGTGGTCGAACAACAATGAACCCTGCGAAAATGCCGGTTTTTAGAGGAATGATCGAGTCTGAGGGATTAGGCGGCCGACCGCATAAGAGCTGCCCAAGATTGCATTTGAATTTTAATATGCAATTACATTGCGTATTACCACCAACCGTCTGAATCCAGCCCTTTTTTTACTGATTGGGCCACGCGTGCTTACCGCTCCTCTTGAGGGGCTCGGTAAAAAAACACGCTGTCGTTGTCTTACCGGATTGCGCAGGAAGTGCACAGGCTTTTGTCGACGTTCGTTCGGCATTAACTTGTCTAACACTCGATTAATTAAAACATAATTCTAGGATTTGTTGCCCCTCGGTGGCTTTGCTCGTTCCGGAAATTAGCATAATAATGCACATGGCCGCCATCCTCTGGGCGCGGGCGTATGTGATACCATCTGTATAAACGGCATAATGTTGTGCGGATAATGTTTCTAAAAATCGACGTACACGGACACGGCCTTTGATGCGGTCGGGATGATATTTGAATTTGCACCATTCGATCGTGTTCGGAGATAATTTTCTGAATAGCATTTGAATAAATTTGACTCACACTTTTGTACGAAATGTGTTTGAGGTTTTACACGGCCCGACGCGATAACATCTCTGCAGCCTATAACCGCACTACATTTAACGACGCGTGTCCCCCCCCCCC